CCCCCTCCCCTCTCCTATCCCTTCTTCTTCTTTTTCTTCTTTTTCCACCTCACACCTCATCCCTCTGATGGAGTGTGAGGTGTCCCCTCCCCCTTCTTCCCAGCCCCCTCCGTCTGCTTCACCCTCCCTTCCCCTTCAGCAGACATCCCCTACCCCACTAACCAAAGGAGGAGGACTGCTCCGACACCCTTTCTCGGACAGACCCCGGGAAGGGCGGAGTCCGTCACTCCTCCAAATCCCCCACTAGACCGCAGTCCAATCCAGGACGACAACCTAGACACCACTCTGCCTTCCCCGCAAGGAGGAGTCAGATTATTACTCCGAAGCCGGGGCCTTTGTGCTCCAAAAACAAACTCGGCGGAATCCGACTTTCCATTTCAGAATTGCAACACCTACAGGCCACACTGTGCCCACTTGTGGCCTGTATACAAGAAATAAAATTCGTCCCGGCTTCAACCATAGACTTCAGAGGAATTACTGCATATCATCACATTCACACGGAGAACCAGATTGATTCCGGTGGAACCACCATCTACACCGACAACAACACAATGTCTGTTGTTCTTGCTGCTTCTAGCCATGTTGTCATTTTGTCCAGTATCTTTTCCCTCTGTCTGCCTCTGCCTCTCTTTCTGTCAAACTTGCCTGTTGTTACAATATTCTCTAATGCTTCTTTCCGCATTCTGTGTCCGTAGAAATTTGCCTGTGGCTCTCTTATATCCGTCATAAGTTGTCTTCTATAATTTGCTTCAACCAAGACTTCTTCATTTGTTTTTCTAGCTCTCCATAGGATACATAGCACTAAATCACCCCCTCAAAATAACCCAACCAAATGACTTAAAGGTCCAGCTTCCAAAACCCTTTATTTTGCTTGGTGACTTTAACTTCAACGCCCACAGCCCCCTTTGGGGAGACAAACCCACGGACCAGAAAGAAAAAAGAATAGAAAATGTTTCTATTCCAAAATATCATCTGCCTCTTAAATGATAGGTCCCCAACTTACAGAAACAGATCCATTTTTGGCACTTCATCCCTTGACTTCACCTTTAGTATCCCTGACCTAGTCCCAGATTTTGAGTGGTCTGTGCTGGATGACCGTACAGACCATTTCTCAATTCTTTAAAAAAAAGAATGCTTCAACTTCAAAAGAGCACACTGGGACGGGTTCGCCCCTGAATGTTCTCCAGATTCTGAATCCCACTTTCGACCTCATCTACAAAAAATTCCACGAAAAGCTTCTAAAATATGCCACAAACGCATACCAAAAACAAAAACAAAACCCCGGAAGAACAAGATCTGGTTCTCTCAGGACTGTGATGATGCAGTAAAGAAAAAGAAAGCAGCATATCAAAAGAGTCTACAACACCACCACACAAAACAAAATTTAATTACCTAAAAGGTCGAGCTGAGTCACGTAGATGCCTCAGGGAGAGCAAAAGACAATCG